AAAAAAAAAAAAAAAAAAAAAAAAAAAAAAAAAAAAATCTTTTTGTTGAGTAAAAGGCTTAGTAGCAGAAAATCCATGGCTTCTGCCAACGGGCTGAAAAGTGCCAGGCTTATAATGCTTAGGGGTTTTTTTCCTTTTCTGATGCTCCTTTTTTTTCCTGCTTCTCCCTTACCCCACCCCCCTCCCCAATCAGGAATTTGTAGGTCAGTAATGAGCATAACAAGCTCATAACAAAGCCACAATTGAAAGAAAAGCCTAAAAAGCATTGAATTAGATTATTATAGTCATCTTCTTCCTGTTTTAGATATCTTCCTACAGAAAGCTGTGTAAAAATGCATGTGTTGATTATCTTGAATTTTAACTCCATAGGTGGTAACTTAGTTTAGATTTGGGAACTTGTATCAGGTCTGGAAATGAAGCAGAGAAGAGGGTTGTGACTTGGTGTGATGTGCATCAGGTAGCTCTCTTAATTCATGAACAGCATGCCACATTTTCTCTCCCCCTCAAAGCAAAGCTGGATATTGCCAGGTGGTTATTCTTGTATTGGGCATCTTGAACCCAACTTGATTAGAGTGCCACTGTCCTGATGTTCTTGGGGCTGATGTTGACTGATGGTTCCATTAACAGTTTGTGTTTCGGCAAAGCATTCGCCTTAAAATGGTAAATGTGTATATACTATGGTTTTTGGCAGCAGCTCATTGGATGGAATAAGATGCAGTACTGTTGCAATTTTAGAAGTGTGGAATATTTTTAGAACGGTCTTAAGTTGCTAGCTCCCGGAGTGGAGAGAGCTGTTCTTTTTATTTTTTCCTAATAGCTGCAGCGCTTGGAGGACTGGCCACTCACTGATGGGTTCATGTGGAATAGCCAGGGCTTAGTGGCACAAGGTCACTTAAGCTGCCTGCTTTATTCAATTTAGGGAAGCTCAGGAAAATTGTCAGCACCCATGTATCTGATAGAACACTATCTCCTTTATTAATGCTAGGCTGTCTGCCTGACAGCTTCCATGAGGCCTGAGGTTGAAAGGCCTCTCACCTACAGAGCACTTAAAGCGGCGCTCTTTGTGCATACGGGTGATGGGTGTGCCATGGAAACTTTCACTTTACAACACTATATGTATTGGTGACAGGTATTTTTCTTCTTTTGCCCACTGCTGTAGCTTTATTTATGGCAGCAGAACTAGAGAAGACCTGATGCTGTTGTCTTCTATTCTTGTTCTTCACTATTCTTGTTCACACCTGCTCTGAGCATCGCTAATTTTTAAAAACAAAATGTCACAACAAAAAATGTGCACTCTGGCAGCCTTTCTTCTCCACCCCCTTTGCTACTGTGGATTGAATTGCCTACAGTAGTGTAGCAAAGTGAGATCTGAAGAAATGGGTGGTGTCTGTAAGCCCTTAGGAGGATAAAAGGATTCAGTAATGTTTTGTGCTTCTCTGATCCTCAAAACAGGTATCACTGAGAGTTGGTTTAGTGATGTGGTTGTGCATCCCCTGGCAAGCAGACTTGGATAACTTTCCCTGGGCAATCAAACAGGAATAGCAAGTGCTTTACTGTTCTGGATTTGTCAGCTTCCAGAGTGGGTATGCCAGCAAAAATCTGGAGGTGTCTAGGTATGCAGTCCTTTTACCTTATAACCATAACAGTAGTGTCTGTAGAAGTAAAGGAAAGCATGGTTTACTTGTGGCTCAGGTTGCTTTCAGGCAACCAGCTTTCTTCCATATAGTTCTGCCAATATACCTCAATCTTGATATGTATTATGCCTTTTTGAGTTGTCAGCATCTCTAGTGGAGGTTTGCTAAATTTGAGAATATAGTGGTGCAGGCAGATGTGTGAGAGAGGAGTCTCTGAGACTTAACAAATCAATTAACTTTATAACATACTTGTGGTTTGAGAAGGTAGTAGTGAAGAGCCAATTCATCAACGCACCATGTCAGTTAATGGACTGGGATTGTGTATTAAATCCCTCTCCACCTTTCATGTATTGTCAGCCATCCTAAACTCTGAAGCAGCTGTGGGTTGTTTTTTTTTTGGTTTTTTTTCATTTGGAGAAGGCCTAGCCCACTCTGGGTGATTTGGTAATCCGGTCCAAAGTAAAATGAACTTCTCAGCACCTTTGCGAAACACTTGAGAGCAACTTTTTTCTCACGTAAGTGAAAATATGGCACAGGTTTTAATAGTCTCTTGATTATTACCTGTAAGAGGTCTTTGTACTAGTTGGCATTTTGTGTGAGTGTCTGACTTTCATGGATGCTTGAAGGGGATTGGTTTTTAGATGTAAACACTTGAACAACTGAAGGACTTGGCTTGTGAAGCTGTTTGTAAATGCACTCTGAAATCTCCTTTGCACTGTCCAGGTGCAGTAAATAAAAATGGAAATTTTATTGCTGGGGGGAGACAATTTTTTATATTTCAGCCGTGCTGGTCAGTGGAATATCTTTAGGTTTGTTGCCAAAGAAATATTTCTGGTAAATACAGTACCACATTATCCCCTTTGAACTTGCAACCTGTACCAAGATGGGGAAGCTGGAAGGTTGATACTGTCAGCTGCTTCCATAACAGTGACCTTGGGAGGTACTGCAGCTACTCATGACATAGTGCACATGACAAAATTTATTGGGTGACAGGTTCGACTGTCAGCTGCTTCACTCTGGGATAGTCATGTTTTTTTCCTACTATCTTTGTGTTAATTGTCCAAGTGCAATATATAGTGATACCCCCCCCAGAGCAGAGCAGTATCTTGACATAGAACAGATCCTGCCACAGATGTGTCCTCATTGCTGGAGCCATAAGGATGGAGTCTCCTAGTGTATTGCTGCTGACACTGAATGTCCCGAATTTCTGATTCGGAGTAAAATTGTAGCAGTATTTCCCATGAGAATCCAGAGGTAACAACCAACACCAAAGGGAAATTGGGGGTGGAGGGGTCTCATGTTTCTTTTGTTTATTTTTTAAAGGAAGCTTCTTGTCAGAATCATAGCAAATACATCTTAAATACATGGACTAATACCGCAGTTTTCAAACTGTGGGGTGCACCCCTCTGGGGGGCAGGAAGGAATGTGGGGGGGGCCCCACGGGCAAGATATTTGCAAGGAGCTGGCACTGCCACAGCCATGCAGGAGGATGCGGGGCTGGGGAGCCCTGGGCAGGATCCATCAGCGGGTTGCCGCACCTGTGGGAGCGCAGCATGGCGGGCACGCAGCCTAGAGCTGCAGTGGGGCCAAGCCAGGAGGCGGTGGAGCCGGCTCCGCTGAGCCAAGTCGTATTGCGGTGGCTGCTAGGATGAGGGGTGCCCTGTGCCTGGCTGCACTGCTTCTCCTGGGTGGGGGGATGACAGCAGGGGTGGGCATGAACAAAATTGTAACTCAAAGCAGGGCTCACCTGAAAGTTTGAAAACTTCTGGACTAATATGTGCTTCAACAATATGTTCAGCCTGGGCATCGATCTCAGATTCCAGTTTTAATTTTTGTTATAATGCAACTGATCTGTGTTTGTCAAATAGATCCTAACTGGATTGAAATTCTGAGATGTTTTGTTTTTGTTTTTAAAGTGCCTGAGGCTGCCAGTTCAAGGCAGATGAATTGGTAACACTTGAACAACACCACCACCACTATGCAGGTGTTATTAAGAGCTAACTATTCCTTCATTCTCTATACAAAATTAAACCAAAGTGGAGAATGAGTTTCCCAAAGTGTCTGTCTTGTAAGTGTTTGAATGCGACAACTTATCTGCCACACTACTCAAATGCACTGAAAAGTTAACTTTAGCGTTAGAAATAGGTACCTGATAATATCCCACTCTGAGGTGGGTATGGTGGGTAGCAATATTTTGTAGTTGTATGCAGAATATTGTAGTGCTTTTTCATTTCTACAAAAATCCAATTTCCCTTTAAAAGAACTTGAGGAAAATTCTCTGTCTAGCAGGTTTTATAGGTTCATGCTATTCAACAAGATGCAGAATGTTGGTCTCTAGCAGTAGGTCACTGTCTTGGATAATTCATCAAGAATTCAGAAAAAGATAACTGTGCAATGTTTTTAGGTGTTACTCAAGCAGGGAGCTGATAATGCAGTTCAGGAACTGTAAAGCTACAAAGGAGCCCTAACTGCAGTTTGTCTTAATCTGCATTATAATTATGTTAATTTGTGCCATATGTTAACTTCATGTTTTCTTTCTCTCTCACTTCTCCAGTTCAGTGATCATGAAAGGTGCCAGGTTGACAACCCTGAAAACAGAAGCCCTACTTGTCCACAGAACAGGTACAGCCTATACAACATCTGTATAAAATGTCCTTTGTACATTGCATCTCTACTTCTGATTTTTCAGGAATTTCTTCTTTTGGGGGGCAGGAATTTGAACATTTTTTACGTGTCAGAAATAGATTTAAAAAAATGGAGGCCTTACCAATGAGTTGATAGAAGTATAGAGATTTTAACCAAGGAATCAAGCCTCTCTTGCCACATGCCAGTTTTGGGGAGTAGTTCTGTGTCTGGGAATTTGTTAGGAAAGAAACATTCAGGTTGTAGCTAATGGGTGTTTTATCTGGAGCACTTTTGTAGCTGCTGGAAAAGAGGTTAGTCTTCTGGCTATTTTTGCTTCTCCAGAAGCTGTTGACTGTTTTGGAGAGAGGGTTTTCCACTATCTTACCGTTTTTTGTTTTTAACCTTTCATTTTTGAGAGTTTTTTCTCCCTTGAATAACTGTTGCGTTAGTTTCCTGTTTACAGTTTTTCCCCTGTGGTATCAGAAGTATAAAGTTGATTTGTTTCCTTACTTGTTGCTGCTCCCAGCATTAGTAGTGAACTGTTCTACTTTCATCTGTTGCTCCCTAGCAGTAGATGTTGCAGCTGCCTGCAGATTTGGGAGGAAGACACTACATCTGTTTTCACTTGAAGCAATAAGAGTTTAAAGTCAAGACTGTGCATTTCATTTTAAAGAAGTTAAGATTAACTTAATCTCTTCTTGCTATCATTATTCCTAAGAATTTCTGTTGATGCTGAATATCCACCCATTTTTCCTTCAGTATCCTTTGAGGCCTGGTACTTTTTTGCTTCCCTAAGCAGTCAGAGGAGTTGCTGTTGTGTGATGTCAAACTAGGAAGAATAGGACTCTGTCAGAAATTCAGTAGGAATCTTGCATATTGCAAAACAAAATCTGACCTGTGTAGGTGCTTTGGGACTGTGGCTGTCCTTTTAACTCTGAAGTGTGTGTATAAACCATGGACTGTTAATCTCTAAGCATGAACATTTGTTACCATTGTTCTAGAATTCAGTTTCACCTATTGATCCCTAATTAATTCTCATTCTGTGTATATATAGCACCTGCCTTAATGCGGCCCCAACCTGGTTGCAGCTTCTAGACACTACAGTAAATACCAGTATTACAGTTGTACTGCTACTGAACTCTACCCCTTGTGCTGGATTGTCCTCACTTCTTGAAATTGGTGTTACTGTTTTTCCTTGAGCTCTTCTGTTTTGCCACTTCCCAAAGCTGGGAGTAGTTGGAGCTAAAACATGTCACAACAGTACATTCTATTTGGAGCCTTTGCTGCAGACCCATGCATTTTACTTTTAATTCTATCTTGTTCCCAAATACCAAGTTTAAGACTAAATGCATCCCTTGTGGAATATGACTTTGTCCCCTTTTTGTCAGTCCACATTTCATGTTGTTTTAATCTAAGTTGATGAGTTCTTGTGTGTATGTGAAAAAGCAAACAGTTCTAAAAAAAAAAATACAGTTTTTAGTTCAGTATTATGAGAGAGAAATGCAAAAGTCAGGAAATTCAAAGCAATGGTTCCCACAGTAACCAGAACCTACTGGCCTGCCTGTATTCATATTACTGTGTGCTGCTAAATTTGACTTAATACATGTGGCACAGCAAAGTAACAGCAGCTGTGGAAACCATAACTGAATTTCCTAACAGCTGCTGCTTGGCCACACTGCATACATTAAAACACCAACCTAACAGTAACGTGAAGCACAGGACAGTGGAATTCCTGGTACTGTGGGAACCATGCCTTTTGAACTTCCTGATTTGTGAATTTTCATTGTTAACCATAACTTTTTGGGGAGAATGTATCTTTGGCTGTTTGCTCTGAACAAGTTAAGTTACGAATATTGAAGCTGATTAAAGGCTGTCCTTGTTCAGTAGCTTCTTAAAAACAGATCTGCAGTTTGAAAGATATTGATACGTGTGAACTTCCCATAAAAAGCTCTGGGCATGCTGATAAAAATGGTTGCAAAAGGCTTTTATTGGGAGCTTCTTGCCAGACTTCTGTTACATTGCATCTGCTACACTTGGCAACACTGAGTGCTATGCTGTTGAAAAGGGTTCCTTGCAATTTGAAAAGCTTGCTTATCCCATCTATATGTAGAGGGTTCAAAAGTGCAGCTTGTAACAGGTGCGTGTCACGACTAGAAACTAGAGGCGAATAAAGGCTGATTCTTCATTGGTTTTAGGGACAGACCTCCAAACTGTTGGATTTCCTTGTCCTGTGTGGACCCCCAAAGAGAATAGACTTTTGTACAAGCCTGTAGTAGAATTGATAAGAAATTTCCTCTCTGAGCTATTACAGAAGCTGCTGCTTTATGTAATCTTCTGCTGACCATCTCTTATCCCTTCTTAAACTGTTCTTCATTTTCTCTGTCCTAGTAATATGACTTCTCACTTGTGGTAGATGATAGGTTTTCTTATGTAGCCTAGGGTGCTGACTTTTAGCTGCTGGGCCTCCATTATTTTTACAAACAGGGCTTCAGGCTTGCCATATTGGTAAGTCTGTAATGGTTTTTCCAATCTGGGTGCAATAGCCAGTTATAGCTAAACTTGATTTGTAGAATAACTTCTTTCTTAAAAGGAGATTTACTGATACCATTCCTCACTTGCAGTTAGAGAGATCTGTGCATGGGTCACAGGTGATAGCCAGCGTCCATTTGACTTGGATTCAGTCAGGATGCTTGCTTGGTTTTAAATATGGAAAGATTTCATTATTTGTGGAATGCAGCTTGTGGTCAGAGTAAAATATATGTGGCTTGTTGTGTGTTCAAATTTTTAGCTGTGTCTTGTTTCATGAAGGCCAAGCAACCAATCGATGAAATGTCACTATTACTATTCTGAACACATTATTGTATATCCTTCTCAAGTTGGTAAATGGACCCAGTTGCATTCCTCACATTTGTACATGGTTTTTATACTGTATTTAACTACTGTATGAGAGAGGGCTTGCAAGAAAACAAAGACTGGAATTATATTGTAGTAAATTTGTAGCTAGAAGCCAAAATTGATGCTTTTTGCAGTGGCTGTAGGTCCACGTGTTCTAAATAGGATTTTGAAAGACTAACCCAGTAACATTTTACCACAATATAAAAGCGGATGGAATTGTATCTGGGCATTGCACCTGTGCCTGGTAATGTAAACATAGCAGTACATGTACTGATGATGTTCTTAGACATCTGTATTCAAAGTAAGATATCTATCTCGGATAATGTTACTAGAAAATCTTGTCACCGGGTGACCCAGTCAGCAATGTTTTGTTGAGTTTCCCTCTGCGTTACCAGAACCGAGAGCAGCTTATAGCCTAGGAGCAAGAAACCTAATGAGATGAGGTTACGGACGATCCTCGTATAAATTCTTCTTATTCAGCTCCAATTCTGCTATCCCCTTTCTGTGGATTGAGAAATGCCCCGTGGTTCATGATCTGGCATGCTGAGATCTTCCTCTGTCCATCCTGTGGTTTTGATTTTATTTTAGCTTTGCTATGTTCTCTCACTTTCCTGTTTCTGACCCATCCCTCCTCAGTCCAGTCCCTCAACATGCTATTGCTTTTTTGTTAAGCTTTGTTCACTGAAAGGCTGAAGATTAGCTGAACTAACAAAGTTAAGCATGTGTGTGGCTTTGTGAAGCTGGGCTGGATTGTGCTTTAGGGAAGAGTCATAGGAACAAGGAAGTGAATCTGGTGGCAGGTGGATACTGCAGTCTGGTGCGTGTGAACTTTCTGGAGGGTCAGCCACATTACCTCCCAACTGTGGGAACAGGTAGGATTGGTGGCTTTCAGAGAGCTATTAGAATCTTATTCACAGCTACCATCTCTTAATTGTAAATGGCTGTCCTGGTCTAAAACTGAAGATCCAAAATGGTAAACGAAAGGCTATTATCTGGGTGCTTTGACCAACATTTTCTGGAAAATGTGTTTAATGTACAAAGCCACATGTGACATACTGGTGTTTGAAGTAAGTATGGAACATTGTAAATAGTTTATCCGGTGCATATGTCTTTCTTGCAGGTAAAATATCCTTAGTGACAGTTTTCATCTAATATTATCAGAGGGGTAATCCTGTAGCAAGCAATAGAGAAGTGATGAGAGATTTAAATATGGGGAAAATGAGGTAGTTTATTTGTTTTAATATCTGTGCTCTGTTCTGTCCCTCTAGTGTGGTAGAGGCACTAATGAGGAACCTGCTGAAGTTTTAATGTGCATATTCGTGTTAGTCCGTGCTTAAGCATTTAGTAGACAGAATGGCCCAGCAAGCAAATGTTGGTGAGCTCCTCTCAATGCTGGATTCTTCGGTTCTTGACATGGAAGATATAACAGCTGCCTTCAAAGACAACCTCAACTCTGGTATGTGCTCCTCATTTTAAATTGAGGTGGGAAGGTGTGCAGAAGCAAGCAAAAAATGTGACGACATCTCTGCATCTGTGACTTCTCGCCAGTGAGCTCTTTGGATGCTGAAAGCTCCCTTGTTCTCTTGGCTAAAAGTTGAGTTTCTTGGCATGTCTGATATTCTGCAGTTTAGTTCTCTAAAACAGTCTCCTTGATCTTGTTTATAAGGTCACTGGGATTTTCCACATATATGCAATCCCAGGTTAAAAGGTGATTTTGCTCTCTTTCTTATGCGCATGACCAGTTGAAACTAGATGAAGAGACGCTTTTGGTGAAACAGAGGAAATGAGTCATGCTATGTTTTGGAATGAATAAAATTATTCTTCATTTTGCTGCCTAAATGCAAGAATAGGTAGTGCCACACCTTTAACTGTTGGTCTGAAACTACCTGAAAGGTGGATTTTCTAATCTTATGTTCAGTTCATTTCTGTGCTGTCCCATCAAGTTGTGAATAAAATCAGTGGGATACTTAGGGACTGGAGAAAGTAATTTGCAGTTCTCTTAAAAAAAAATCTGGGTAATGTCTACAGTACTTGTTCAAGTTTGTAGTCATTACTGTAGTTATAGTCTTGTACAAGGTTCTTACTACAGAATATGTATGTACTAAAATTAACTATTTTTACTACCCTGCTTTCTTGTGCCCAACCAACTACTAGACCGTGGACCTATGCTTGTGAACAACCTAGTAGATTATTTCTTGGAATCCAATTCTCAGCAGGCATTACACATCCTGTCCAGCTTGCAAGAGCCTCATGACAAGGTAAAACAATGTTGGCTGTAATAAAATTTTGAAATACAGCAGATACTACTAGCATTGTAGAATCTTCTGAATAGTGCCCATTCTTATTTTTTTTTTAATGGTTAGATCAGTTGATATAGGGATTTCTGTATCTGTATAGTAATAGTAGGTTGATTTTAAATAAACCCAATCAAAAAAACCCTTTAAAGGAAAGGCTTCATGCCTGTTTCCTGGATTATCTAAACTGGCTTGATGGCTGCAGTAGACTTCAGTCAAAGCTCCCGAAAGACCTGTTTCATGTGGAATGTAATAGGCTTTATTTATAGTATTATTGATCATCAGTGGCAGCAGCAGATTGTTTAATGTTAGGTTTGTTAGCTAAAGAGAAGGGTATCAGGCACACAACTTGAAAAGCAGAAAGGGATCCAGCAAACAAGTGAGCATGTCTAAATGAACTCATGGCAAAACTAATGGGGTTGGAAATATTTGTTATGCAATGACTGAATCCTGATGCAGAATGATCTGCTAAGCCCAAGTGGCAGATCTTGGGGTGAATGCCTTAAGTTACTCAATGGCAGTATTTAATTGTTTCCTTGGGTTGCAGGCTGTCTGGATCCCTAAGTTCACATTTATAAATATCATATTTATTAATTTCCGTAGCTAAAGATACGGACTACTACACCAATTCCAGTGATGCCAACTTGTTCAAGGAGATCACTACAATTATTTTGTAATGTGTTTTAATTTCTTTTTCCACTCCTCTCCCTTGTATTCTGTTTCAGCACCTACTGGATAAAATTAATGAATATATGGGCAAAGCTGCTACCCGTTTACCCACTCTCTCACTATTGGGTCATGTGATAAGACGACAGCCATCTTGGAAACACAAGCTTTCTCAAGCGCCTCTCCTACTTTCGTTACTCAAGTGTCTCAAGGTGAGAAATGAATCAATGGTATCAGTGTATTGCATGTTTTTTATAAGGGGCTGATCACTGTCTACTCTGCACTGATTGTATGCAGAAATTCTTGGCTGTGTGTACATCTGTGTAAAATAGCTTGTTTTCAATCCAAACCTCTAGATATAACTCAAATATCTTATGGCATCTTATGAAGGAACTGTCTTGTTTTGTCATATCTTGCCAATTACAGTCTTGGGGTGGGGGTACTCTGTCCTGCAACTCACTTGTAGAGGGATCCTGAGGAAGGTGCTTTACCTCCATTTGCCTTGGTTTTCCTATCTGTTAAATGGATAGTAATCATGTAATGTGTGGCAAGGGTGCTAAGAGAATTGACTTAAATTGGGAAAACATGCTGAGATCCTTGAATGCAGGGAACAGAAATGTACATCGTCAGTGGTGTAAAGATGATTCTTAAAACGTTTTCTCAAAGTTTCTTGCATCCTAATTGGATGTCAGAGAAAAATAATGTACTTGCACTAGTGCAGAAATTTCCTGCCTGGCAACTGGTTTTTGTTTGTACCTTATTCTATCAGCTACAATTTAGCTTGCTCTTGCTGCTTAATCTAACTAGTGTTCTACTAGTCGATCCCCTTTTTATAGTGCAAAACATGAGGCTTCTACAGTTGTTTGCAAAGTATTTAAAAAAAAAAAAAAAATTACAAAATGGAGACCTCCATGCAAGCAACATTTATATTTGGGGACATCTTTGGTTACTGGATTATACCATACAACTATGCCTTCACCCACCTAACATCAGTGTGTTTCAGCAGTGCTTAATCTTCTGGGTGTATGTTTCAGCATTCCAAAGCTGTCTGTGCATTCGAGCAGTCTGGCAAGTTGAATGACTGCTGCTAGCGTCAACTTGCATCAAAGCTCTAAATTAGGATGCCGTGGACTGTGCAGTTGCCCAGATGGGTTCATTTTATCACACATGTGGTCATGTTGTGACGGGTATCTTGGCTAACATATTGCTGCACAAAAAGGGCTTGGAGGCATTAATGATGAAATGAAAAGGGAGATTAATATGAGGCTTCTGAGCCTAATGTATGTCATATGTCAGCTGTATGGGATACCCAGGTCAGGTTTCAAATCTCAGGCTATGAAGGAAGGGTTTGCTTAGTTCTGGGAGGAACCTAAGGTAGGGTGCTTCATATTGCAGTCAGGGTTGCTGGTTGTAACTGTGTTGGTAAAGGAGCAATGATAAGACTGCCTTTGAAATAAGCCTGGCCTTTAGGTAAAAGTTCAGCGGCAGAAAGGTGTGTTAGTAGCTGGAATCTCTGATCTTCTTTCAAAGATCCTTGGGGCTAAAGAGATAATTACCTCAGTGAGCCAAGGTAAGGTGAGTTTAAATTAGGTAATCTCCATGTAAGGAGCTTTCACAGGTCATTGGCATGCAGTGTTTGCTGAATCCTGGTTCTGCATCTGGACAGAGTGAAGCTTTATCTTTTGAATCGACTAATACAGCTTTTCTTCCTTGCAGACTGACACAGATGTAGTAGTACTCACCACAGGCGTTCTAGTGTTAATAACAATGCTGCCAATGATTCCACAGTCTGGCAAACAGTACCTGCACGATTTCTTCGTTATCTTTGGCCGTCTCTCAGCCTGGTGCTTGCAGAATCCAGGTGAGACATCTGACTGTTGCTTGCAAGTATGGTTCAGTAGGATTGTTCAGACTAGTGTTGAGCCCTTCAGTTTGTGGGTCTAGGAGCAGGATGGGGTTAGGTTTTTAAATGCAGAAAATGAGCTCCTAAAGTCTGTAGTTATTCCTTTCTTTTGACATAATGGTGTTCCTTGATACAGCACTCAGAAATGCCTGGTTTCACATGCTTTCAGATGAAAAGTGCTGCTGCTGCCTCTATTGCAGATGCTACTGGGCAGGAATTGAATCACAATAGCTCTGAGTAGGCTGCAGCTGCTGCTGGTAAATAAAAGGATGAGAGGAAAACCTACTAGCAGTTGAACCAGGTGCTGGAAAAGTTGGAGAGTTTCTTCGGAGTGAGTGCTGGGGAGGGATGTAAGAATTCAGCTAATGCCTCTCTGACAACTATTGGAATAATGGTACTGGACAAATCAATACTAGATGGAAAAATCTATATTCTTGCCAATTATCCTAGGATTATTCTAAGACATTTGAGATGCAGGACTGAAAGCTTTGCATGTGTGCATATCTTCTGGTTGTATGGCCTTCTGAACAAATGACACGACTGAGAAGGTAGGGTGTAGTTTAGAAGCTCATTTGTGCATTGACTAGTATTTTAGCTGCTCATACAGGCCAGAATGATCTGTTAATTTCATAATTCTAACTTGTAACTTGTTTCTGTTGGATTTTTATTTGACTCTGAGCTGAAAGGGGTGTCCATTGTCACCCTGTAGACCTAGTTACTGAAAACTCTGTGCCCAAAACTCTGTCCAATCTGCATGACCCATGCTTTGCTTAAAGGATCAGAATGAATATACTGTTTCATGCTAGTCTTTTCAGTTTATGAGCAGGTTTACCTCTCCGTTCATACAGTCTTGCAGCTTTCCTAGGCTGTGGTACTTCAAAACTATGTGTTTTTTAAATTAAGATAGGCATTCTCAATGTTGTTTCTTTTCAAATTTTGTCGAATTGAAGACTCTTCTGATCTTGTCTGCAGAAGTCATTTTACTTCCCTAATCATAAAAAAGCTCCCAACTGTTTCCTGCAGGTCACGTTCCAGAGATCTATCTTGTACACCTCCATGCCAGTGTTTATGCTCTCTTTCACCGCCTTTATGGAATGTACCCGTGCAATTTTGTCTCCTTTCTGCGTTCTTACTACAGTATGAAGGAAAACCTGGAGACCTTTGAAGAGGTGGTCAAGGTAAAACATTGCTTAAGTTGTCGTCATCTAGGGTGAACATGTTATAATTGCAAGAATGCAGTTATCTGCTACACACATTATATTTGGATTAAGAGTGCTGTGCAGTGAAACAGAGCTGTAACAGGTTACTGAGAGATTGGAATCTTAATAGCTGTGAGGCAGGCTTGAAAGATACAAGCATGTTTCAACAGCTTGGTTGAGTTGTCACACTCTGTTCTCTAAACGAGTAGGTCTTTTGACTATTAGAACTGCTTGTTAAACTCCAGAAAGTAGAACATTAGCATAATGTACCTGAAAAGCTTTGTACCAAATGTGTTTCTCTGTCTTGCCCCCACTTCTCCAGCCAATGATGGAACATGTGCGAATTCATCCAGAATTAGTGACTGGATCCAAGGACCATGAACTGGACCCACGAAGGTATATATATCTTCTCTTCTATTTGAAAAAACTATCAAAGAGCTGGTTCTTTTCAGGAGGCACACAACAGAAACCTATGCCTCTCATGAGAAAAGCCTATGCCAATGGTGTTCTGCAATCAGTGTTCTAAGGTACCCCAGGTAAAATGTAAGGCTTTTGTTGTCTGGCTTGTAACTGGGGTGAATATGCAAAATATGTGAGAATAGATCCTAAGCAGCTGTCTTAAGCTGCAGCTTCGTTTCTATTTAGTGAGTAGGTAATTAAAGGATTTGAGGAGACTAGTTATCTTTATTTTTTAAATCAGAGTAGAAAGCAATTGGCACTGTTGCATGCTAGCCATTCTCCTTTTTTTCCTCTTACCATAGGAAGGAGAAATCTGTCTCTCATTTCAGTTTGACCTAGAAATTACTTGAATTGGTCTGTAATTGCATCCAATTCTAGACTGTTTCCCCTTTTTGGTTCATTGAAATCTAGTGCATAAAATGCCTTCACTATATACCTAGAAACATTACTGGTCACTTCTTTTAGGAGGTTTGTTTTTTAAGTGGTCTAGCTCTCTTTAGGAATAGGCTCATTTGCCTGCAGCAGCAGCACCACTTGCTGCTTTTCTCTTGTTTCCACAGGCCCAGCAACTGAAGAGGAGAAATTGACTCTTGTTCCTGCACAGTAGTGCTCTTGCCCTGCTTTGAGAGTCACTGGGAAAACACTAGTAAATGGGAACCCATTGACTATCACAATGTTCAGTTTTTCAGGCTCTTTCCAGCTGCATTTGGTTGGGGTGGGCAGCACATCTAAAGCGTTAGATACAGAATTGTCTGTTAAGGCCCATTTGGGGTTAGTATCTTATACAAACTGTTTTGCTTGACATTTTCAACTGATGGCCAACAGCAGTGTACTTCAGTGTACAGTGAGGTTTTGAAAGTAAAAGAAGCAAATGTAGAACACATAACCAAAATTGGATTGCAGTACAGCTTAGTCTGGCATTCCAGATGTTAACTTGCATAATAACTAATAAAAGTTCTGCACAGTTGGTCAGTTGAGATTTGGACTACCATCACCTGAGGCTAGCTGATTTGATTTCCTAATGCATTGAAGATTCCAGCTGCTCAAGCTTCTGTATGGTGTTCCTTCTTCCCAGAGTGTTCCATGGCAGACCCTAACAGGTCTGCATCAGAGCTGTTATGTCTCCAGTTCGGAGCTCCCTCTTATGACTCACCTCATTGTAGTTTCTTTTTAAACTGTTTAAAGCTTCAGAAAGCACATGGAGTGCCTTGTTCATGTTTCAGTTGAAGATGTGTAAAGCTGGCTGACCAAACAAGGCATTCTGCAAATCAGTTCCTGGTATCTCTAGGGTCATTTGTTTTTAATCGTATTGACTTAGTACTGACTGACTCTTTTGGATCCGAAAACTGTCTGCAGGTGGAAAAGACTAGAAACGCATGATGTTGTGATAGAATGTGCCAAAATCTCCCTGGACCCAGCAGAAGCCTCATATGAAGATGGCTATTGCTCTGTGTCACGGAAAATCTGCACACACTTAAAGCATCATCAAACTGACCTCAGTGCCAGCCATTACAGTGACACACCGAGCAGCTATGGTAAGAACTGAATGGCACTTCATAGTCTCTTCATCTGTGGAAGTAGATGAGCCATATTGCAGAAGATCATAATTCTTATTAATAGATCCTTCTTCAGGTCCAGATCTATAGAGCCATTTGGTGAGGTGAGGGTGGGTTTACAAACATTACACTTCTGTGTATAGAATTTGCAAAAAGCCTTGAAGATAAATGTCTCTGGCACTGTTGCAACGTGGCCCTATTTGTAGAAACTGTATGGAATCCATTCCTGTTTTCATGTGTTGGTGTGTGTGTGCTCAGAAATGTTAGTGGTAGCTAGCTGGGAAAGCTTTTAGCACTTTAAAGATTAGGCCTCATCAGGGTGTCAACTGAAACTTTCAAGTCAGTAGTCACTGTAGTGATTTGTGTATCTTATGTGGATTGGAAGGGATAAATCTGCTACCTAGTAGTTTGGTATGCAGGAACAGGTAAGTAGATTTGAATAGTTTTAAATAAGTTAATATCAGCCAGAAGGCTCATCAAAAGCCATATCAGATTTGATTTAACATTCTCATACTTTTTTCTTACTCCAGGGACTTCTACACCTAATTCCACTCCTCGGCTAACACTATCACAAATGCCAGGGCAGCTACCTCAGACTCTGAGCCCACAATCTATGCAGCTGTCAACTGAGCCACAGCAGGTAATGCAGCTCCTTGTGGCACTCTAGCACATTTAAAACCTTGGCTCCTCTAATTGGTTTCTCATTTTCTAAGGATATTCTAGAAATAGGTGCGTTTGTTTTCATTTAAGTATCTGTTGAAGCTTCCTAATATGCCTCTAACTTGCTGCATGAAAGAAGTTCATATTCTTATGTAAAGTGATTGCCAGTATCAAAATCCAAGGGACATAGTTTCATAGTTAGTAGGGGACATATACCAGACATGCTTGTTTCATGTATGTTTTTCCTTACTTTAGCATTTTTGACTTGCTGCTGTTGGTAATCTGTTCTACTTAGGTTACCATCTGGAGCCCTTCCGTAACTTGTGGTATGACCACTCCACCAACTTCCCCTGGAATTATTTCATCAGAGTCCTCACAAACTTCATCACAACCTTACAGCAAGTTTTTTGGCACAGCTGGTATGTATTATACATCAGAACCAGAAGTTTAATACGTTAACCATGAGGGAGACTGTTACAGATTGCTGAAGTATGTGGATACTTAAAAGGTGTCTGCAGGCTCTTAAAAAATTAGCATTTTCAGAACTTTCTTTTTAAATTGTTTTATAAGCAGCAAACTGCACAGGATGCCATGGTTTTTAACTAGAGGATCATATACTTGATTGCTGCTTTCTGGCTGAGCCTACTGCATGCACTCCTGGCTGCTTGCCACCTTCTTCCCTTCCTCCCCAGCTCCTTGCATGCTGTCCTTTTGTCCTTCTTAAATTATCTCCACCTTCGGGCTGTGTGCAGCCATTCCTCCTTTCTTCTCCCAAAGTCTCCTATTCTTCCCTTGTGCCCCCTTCCCTACAGGGGCTGTGTTGGTGCCCCATTCCCTGGCTATAAAGGTGTCAAAATGCTTAAATCTATTGAGCAGATGGGCAAATAAAAGGGTATTATGCTGGGTGTGTCAGTAGATGCCATCAGTCCCTTTGACCTGTAGTGGTGGTTTTCAACCTGTGGCCTGCAGACCCTTGGGGATCCACAGATTATGTCTAAGGGGTCCGTGAAAGATGATTAATCAGAAGTGTGTGAATACCCACACTTACAATTCAGAGGACTCTGCACTGCCCTAGGAAATGTTTTAGGAGTCTGCAAGTGAAAAAAGGTTGAAAACTACTGATCTATAGGCTGCAGTGGTACTTTGGAGCTGTGACTGCTAAGCAAATGGCAGGAGCACTGTATCCTTGATTCCTCCCAGAGTCAATTAATTTTTGCATATTGATACCTGTCTATAAAGCTACTCTGTTTAATCCAGATGGAGAACTGGTGTCATGTTGGGTGTAAAGGATTGTAAGTTCAGCAGACTACAGTCCTGATTCCACTGTTGGATGGAATGTATTGCTCTTTTGAATGTCAAAATGTCCATTGTGAAGCTACCTTCTGGTAGCTTCAAAATGCCACAGTTAAGTACTTGCACAGCTTGGTTCTAATGTGAGTACAGAAAGATGATTGGGTACCTCAAGTTGAGGGATAAAGTAAGGAGATGCGTATCCCAAATGTGTTTTTTAAACTTTGAACCTGACTAAGGCCATAGATCATTCTTGGGAATAATGTTCTTCTATTCTGCCTCTTGAGCAGGTGGGAAAGGGACTCCACTGGGGACACCAGCCACCTCCCCTCCTCCGTCCTGCATTTCAGATGACTTTGTACACGTTTCACCCCCTTCAGCTGCTGCCACACCTCACAAGAAGGTAAAAGCAAATTATAACTCCCAGGCAAAGCTGACTTCAGTCTCCCGACTGACTTGTCATGAGAATCTCTCTTCTGTCATTCATGGTGGCTTTTGTATAAATTAAAACTGTTTAGTTATGAAAAAGCAGCTTAGGCTTAAACACAAACTGACAGGTTGGCCTCTGACTTTAGACAACTTTAGATTTGGATCACTGTTTCTTCCACATTTGTTCATTGATTTGCTGTTTAAGCCATCTGTCTGAAAGAATTCCCTCTTGCCGAATGTGTGCTAGCTGCTGTTCTGTGATGTCTGTTGCAAAGAATCCTTATTCTCTTCCAGGAGGACAAACCGGATCCTGGGAGGCCTTCGCTGTCCCGACAGCAAAATGTCATAAACAGCGAGAAAGCATTGGGTAAAACTACATCCTCTTCTCCCAGCTCTCAATCTTATCCCCAAATAGCAGTCACTTTTGTGGACAGATGTGTCCAGGTGCCACAAGCTTTTCTCCTCTGCCCTTTTCCTCCTCCTTCCTGTTAATCCATAGTAAGTCACAGCATCCACTTAAGCTATGATTCAACTTAAGGTCTTAATAGGATGAAGTGTAGTGATTTGTTTCTAATGTATTATTCTCTGGCATCAGCAGCTTCTGTGGGCTGCCTTTTTAGCTATCCCACCCCATGTTTGATAGCTGCAGTTACAAGTTTGAACAGAGCTACGCTGAAGGTTGTAAAGGATGGGAGAAAGAGTGCTGAAGTTCTTGCAGTAATTTTCTTTGTTTTCTTTCTTTTTTGGAAGCTAGCATGCATTTATTGCACAGCTGGAAAAGGACCTGTAGTGTCATGCATCCTAGTCCAACAAAGGCTGCCCATACACGGGAGCATTTTGGAAAAAAATCTTCTCAGATATGTATGGAAGTAGAACATGCTTGTCTCTGTTCCTTTCTAGTTCCTTTTAAGAAGTATTAAAATCTTTAGAGGTTGGTTGTGAAATGGGGCTTCTTATTGGGGATGGATCTAGCATTGCCTCTTTTCAAACCTCCCAACCACATAAAGCTGAAAGGATGGAAAACAAATGTGATGGCACAACTGTTAAGATGGTAAAGAATTATTGTAAATGTATCTTTAAGGGTGGAGAAGATGCTTTCACTTTAAGCCTGGCTTTCCCCAGTGAAGTTGCTTTGCAACACCTGGTATTTGAATTTCCTAGCATATGAGTTTAGCTAGGGAGATATGTGAAGCTTTCTAGTAAGCTTCCAATTTTGACTGAGCAGCAAACATAAGGTTTCTCTCCCTGCTCTGTGTAGTATGCATCTCCCAGCAGCTGTCTTGAGCTTCTGATGTGGTGTTTGGTTCAGTCTACACTGCATCCATTCTGTTTCCCTTTTTCGTTTTTTAGGTAAGTACTGCTTACTGAAAATCAGAATTCAGAAAGGAGTTAAAAACTTATCTGAAAACATAGTGTTTTTGAACCTTAAAGTTATGGCTTCCCATTTAATGGGTACAACTGTAAATGATGCTTCTCTTTTGTGGAGGAGTCTACCTCATCTCAATCTGCAAGAGCAATTTTTTTCCACTTCAAAACCATACTGGCTGGGTTTGGAGGGACCTAAGACTAGCCCTTAAGGACTCTTGACTTCCAGGTAGAACAGACATGAGGTGAGCTCCTCGTTGGAGGAGTACTGGGAGGAAGAAGGGGCAAGCTTTTTGTAACACCCTTCAAGCAGAAATGGAAGATATGCTATTGTATTGTCAAGTCCTCCTGTGGAGTACAGCATATTTACAACTTAATTGTTTTCTTTTTTTTCTTTTCCTTTCAGAAGCACCTGGCAGTAAAAATTCTGTACCTTTGAGAGATCTTCCAGAATTTTTAGGTGGTCTGGCCTATGATGAGGACAGTGTTGAAAAGGACAAAGAAGAAGGTAATGTCTGGTATCTTTATATGGCTTTTACACCATAACACTCAGCTTCCTTAGGCGTAAAGCTAGTGTAGACTGAGATTGCTCCAGGCTTCGATTGGTTCACTATCATTCTTAATGTCCATAGGTTAACCTCTGTTAGTTCAGTCCTTGTTGTATCTGCTTTTCTGTTTTATCAACAGCATAAGATGTATAGTTGCTAGATCCAAACTCTTGGAAGAATTCCCATGTTCTCAAGTGTTTGCTACTTGCTCCTAGTACTTGCAGTACCTTTAGTCCAAAATATTTTTCTTAGGAAAGATTGACAGGAATGGAAAAAGACTTACTTTCTGCCAAAATTTTTAAAAGTAGGGTGGAGGAGGGAACGTTCCATCCTAGGAGGATGAGCAGATAAACCTCTCCTAATATATATAAATTCTGTCTTCATAAAAAAGCATATCCATGCTTACTGTAAGGAAATAGCATCCCTCTTTAGAGAATATTTTGCAAAGTTTATATTCCAGTTCAAACTCTGTTTGGAGGACTAGAGTACCTCTGAGATCTGCAGATTGTAGTGATTTGAATTTTTTTTTTTAAACCTATATGAATACATAATACTACACACTTTTTTCCATGTTTGTGATTAACTAGTCTCCATTTTCTTCGCACTTCATCCTCCCCCTCTGTAAATTCAGGGAAATTTTTTTATTCCATGGCTAAACAGAGCAATTATAGAAGTAGGGTCAGAAGGGACCTTGTAGATCTTCAAGTCCGACCTCCAGCCTGGGAGCAACACATTTAGAAATGTCACTACTTCAAATTGGCATAGCCAAGAGGTTTTCAGTTGCTCTGTTCCTAATAACCTACTCTTATTTGTTTTATCTTAATAGTAGTCTAAAATTTAATCCACTTTTTGCTGCCTACCAGCATGTGTCCTCCTAAATATTTTGTCTAGGCACTGAAACTCGAAAACATTTCCAAAAGATATTGAGAAATTGATCTTGGGCAAGAGCAGGAAAAAAAAGTCGTCCTCTCCAGCCCCCCAAAAATAAACTTGACATGATGCCCTGTTCTAATTTTACTTCAAGACAATTTGCAGGACTTATATCCCAGGTTATATTGAGCAAGCCTAAGTGTGTACCAGGTAAACAATGCCTAAGTCACCCATGGGAGTTGGCTAGGAGCAGAACACACCACTGGTGAAAGGCAGATTGTTTTAATGCAGCAGCAAAAGTTGTTTTCTGTTTTCGGTTTTGGTTTTAGCTCGTCTACCTGTTTCTGTCTTGTCCTTTTTTTCAGATGCAATATCAAAAGAAATCTCTGAGATCACCACAGATGCTGAGCCCATGGTGCCTAGAGGAGGTTTTGACTCTCCATTCTATCGAAGTTGCGAGAGTTTACTAGGCTGTCAAAAGAAGCCCCAATCTATAGCCTTGGGTGTTCAGGGACACAGTCTAACCTCTGAGCATTTAACCTCTTCTCTGGACAAACCTGGTCCTGAGGGTACACGAGACACACCTAAACAAGCATTTACTCCTATAGACAAGCCGTCTGGAGGCACTGGTGAGAACCCTGCTGGTAACGGGGAAAGCCAAACCTCTGTGGAGACCAGTATCCTCACTCCTAGCCCTTGCAAAGTACCAGCACAGAGAAGGATAGAGCTTGGAAGTTGGCAGCCTCCCCAGTATGAGCATCTTTTTGAGGTTGCATTACCAAAGACTGCCTACCTCTTTGTCAGCAAGAAAACTGAGGAGCTGTTTAAGAAAGCCAAGGGAAATCTAGATGAAGACTGCACATGTTCCACCTCTCCAGTGGAAGTACTGGATAGATTGATACAACAAGGAGCGGATGCACATACCAAGGAGCTCAACAAGTACGTGACTACAAAATTTGCTTAGCTTAAAGTTATTTTTCCCTCCTTATTCCTTGTCTTGGTAATTGCAAAACGGTATGTATGCCAGGAAAGCGGTTGTGTGGAAATGAAGACGATCCACAAACGTGGATCTGGAATCCTTGTATTACAAAGGAGTGACAGGCTTTATGCTGGCATCTTTTCAGACTTTGCTGACTGAAGTTCTGGGAAGTGAACTTCACAGCTAGTAAAGTAAGTAAAATCATCTTATGACAGTAGGACTCTTGCCATCCTTCCCAACAGAGCTCAGGGATACAAGGTGGACCCATTGTCTCTAGTGTGGCTTTGATTTGCCTATCATTAACCAGGTAACAACTCCGTATAAGGTAAATGCTGTGACCTGTAAGTCTAGAGGTGAGGAGAAGTATCAACTTTGCTAGATACCAGAGGTGCCTGGGAACTGGTAAACCAGGTTTAAGCCGAGGGTTAAACCTGGTTTACCCTTCACCTTTCATATCCTATTTTGCTGTCTGCTTCACCCTTTTTCCTAGGCTTCTTTCTATACTTAAGACGTATACTTTTGTCTGCCATTTTCGTATTGCTGTCTTTAAAATCCATACGTAAAGTCTATTTTTTTGCAAAAATCTTTTTCCATGTTTTTCTCTATATCACCTTATTCAAATTATTCTGTAGTGCAGCGGTTCCCAAACTCTGACAGATTGCGCACCACCAATTTAAAGCAATACAACCTTAAGTACCACCAGGGAGGGTATGGGTGTGTGTGTATGGTGGGTTGTAAGGGGGTATGGCGGTGTGTGGAGAAGCATAGTGTGGGGGGAGTTGTGTATATGTCGGGGTAGGTGGGGACCCCTGCACTCCCCGTGGCAGAGCAGCAGGCGGGGGTGCTCAGGGTGCCCAGCAGGGTGCAACTTCCGCCAGAGCTGCACATTGTAGCAAGGGGTGCATCCTCTGCTGGACAGTTGGTATCACTGGTGCTCCCTGCACTCACCGGGCATAGGAGGGAAGCCCTGCACATTGAAGCCTGCCCCCCAGGGGAAGGCATCTGCGGCTTCCCTCCCACCCTGCACAGCCCCAGCAGGGAAGGCAGCTGGCTGCAGCACATGGGGCTTACCTTCCATGCTCGACAAGTGTGAGAGTTGAACGTGTGCGCAGAGAGCGCTGGCGATAGATGACCCAGCAGAGGCTGGGTCCCTCACTGATGTGCAGCGTTGGCCAGAGCCATGCCCTGCCAAGCAATTGCACTGGGCATGGGTGCCCTGAGTGCCTCCATGTCCTGCTGCTGCATACCACTGATGGGTTGTCTGCGTACCACTGGTGGTACACATACCACAGATTGGGAACCACTGCTCTAGTGTACTTGTTAGATGGCATTTGCAGTGGGGAGGACCTGTAACTTACTTTGTCTCATAAATTACACAGTCTTGTGTTTTCATTTCCAGATTGCCTTTGCCAAGCAAATCTGCTGACTGGACCCACTTTGGAGGTAAGTAAATTTCCCTGGGTTGAGACTTGCCAACTTAATCGGATGTATTTTGACTTGCCTGTATCTCCCACTGTTTGGGTTACTTAAACAGTACAGTTTGTATTGGGGTTTTTGCACCATGCTGCATAAAAAGCATAGAGAACTTCTTCTCTTACACTACTAGGGATATTGCCACTCAATTTGGTTGTCAACTGAACAACTCTGTTGTATGTATTGGCCTTCATGGAAATGCTGATTCTCCAGCAGTTTGTTTTGTGGTAAGTGATGCAAAAATATATATATAATCCTGAAGCTGAGTGATCACCTGCTTTCAAATTAGATTCCATCTGGCTTGAAAGGCTACTTACTTAAATGTTTTCCCACCCCATGGTTCATAATTCTTTGACAGTCCTAACCTGGAACCTTTTCTAACCTTTTATCTAGACACCACACAGTTAAGTTTGTGACCTCTGTGGTACTGACCTTTTTCATAGCTTCATAGTTTCTAGGGTCGGAAGGGACCTGAGCAGATCATCTAGTCCGACCCCCTGCCCTGGCAGGAAAGAGTACTAGGGTCAAACGACCCCAGCAAGGTGTTCATCTGACCTCCTCTTAAAAACCCCCAGGGTAGGAGCCTGCACCACTTCTCTTGGAAGTTGGTTCCAGACCCTAGCCGCCCTGACCGTGAAGT